TTTTAAATTAATGAATAACCTTTTAACTTAACTTTGATCCTAATTTAAAAATTTTAAATTAACACACGTCAACTCAACCATAATTTTATGGGTGAAAGCCAACTATCATCCCTCTACTTTGTGAAAAAGTTCAATTTAACCCTTCTACTATGGAATCACCTCAAGTCGTCCCTCTACTTCATTTTGAGCTCAGATGCCCTCCTACTATTCAAAAAGTGATCAATTTCATCCCTCCATCCATTCCATGGCTAACACCGTCACTTTTTACCGTTAAAGCCTAACGGTTTGGCATTTAACATATATTTCTGTATTATTCTTTTCTCCAATTTAATTATAATAGGACCCACCAATACCACATCATATTCCATAATAATACACTAGCTACTAAAATCTCAATTTTCAGCAACATGGAAGCATGTTGCTGAAAGTCTTTTGGCAACATTTCAGCAACATGGGTTTGATTGTTAAAAGTTTTGTTGGAGAAGGCTGGGTGAGTAATACACTACCAACCAAAATTATGTTGCTAACACATCAGCAACATAAGTTATGTTGCTGAAAAAAAAGTATCAACAACGTAGCTTATATTGTTGAAAACTTTCACCGGAATTCGATGAAGAGGGGAGGTGAATTTCCTCACCCTCTTCAGCAACATAAGCCATGTTGCTAAAGATAAGATTTTAGCAACATGGCTCATGTTGCTAAAAATTGGGAGAAAAATGACCGGATTCCAACATCAGAATCTAACATGATTTGTAGCAAGAAAAGTCACATTGCTGAAAATATGGTTTCAGCAATGTGGCTTGTGTTGGTAAAAGTTGGGGAGGAAAAGTGCTTTTCACTTTTCAACAACATATTCTTTGTTGCTGATTGTATACTTTCACCAACATGGTCCAAGTTGGTAAAAAATATAGGTGATTTTCAACACCAAAATATAGGTGGAGAGAGTAGTCAACAACCTTTCAGCAATATAGTTCTTGTTGTTGATGTTCCTTCCAATAGTACCACCCACATTTTCAACAACATACTTCTTCTTGTTAATGTTTATTCCTATGGCACCATACACCTTTACAGCAACGTACCTCTTGTTGGTGATGTATCAAAATACTTAATAAAAAAAATTATGTCTTTATGTGATAATATATATTACATTAATGTTATATTATCAGTATTAAATTTAATAATTTTGTAGTATTTAAATATAAAATTTATTTTTTATAATCATCAAATATTAAATATCTTAATATCCCACATACAATATAATTAGTTATATGTACAAAAAAAATTAAAACTAGATCATAAATATTTCTCAATTAGATACATTATTCAATTTTTAACCTAATAAATGTATATAAATTAAAAAACTTAAGTTAATTAATTTT